ATTTACACGCCTAGCCATACGCAAAGACAGAGCAGTCTTAACACGACCTGTAGCAGACACAAACTGACCCTTTCCTGTCATCATATATCTAAATAAAAATGCTACGGTGAAAAACTGTTAATTGGTTAACTGTAATATGGAGGAAAAACTGAAATAAATATAAATGAGGACATAAATGGGACATTTCATGAAATTTTACTGTAAAATACCGTTAAATTTAGTTTTTTGAAGTCAAAAAGAACAAGTCCTCTTATAATTTAAAGTAAAAAAAAAAAAAACATGTAAATTTACATTCCAAGAATTCATTTTGTGACACTTTACAATTGATGGTTTTTCACCGAAATAACATTTTAGTTTTGTACATTAGAGTTCTGTGTTATATATGTGTTATATCTGTTATACCGGAGCTAGTTTTTTTAGTTTAGGTTTTTTTTTTCGGTCCACCCATTATTTCCAATTAAAAAAAGCACAGCTACTGCACAGTTGATGGCTCAAACAGACTTTGGTTAAATATTAACCATTAACATTAGTCTTGGGTGAGCTAAACTATGATATCTACAGACAGAAGCATAGCTACAGACACACATTACTGTGCTGAACCGTCTGGGTTGTCCTCTTTTTTATTAGCAGGTTATGCTAAACAATTCAACAGCACCAGATGCTGTCTCATTAACCTTTATAGAACAGAATTGCTCTCATTTCCCTTCTTTCACCTTCAGCTGCTGCCAGATCCTAGCAAAGTGGGGCCAACATCTGGATCTGCCTCAATAGACTCCAAGAAGTGTCAATGTTGATCACTGAACACATGATGAAAGCTGAGGAAGAACAACGCGAAGGGACACATATGCTATAACACTAAACCTAAATATATGTTTAAGGATTTCATATTAAGTCGTCCCATAAGATAGAAATAATAAACTGAAACATTTGTAGCGAGTAGGGTTGGGTATCGAGAATCGAGTATCGATTGGAACCGAGACTAACTTTTCGTTTTTCCCGGAATTGTTCAAAAGTTAAAATTTCGATTTCTAGTTTCGATATTCACAGTCCGGCGAGCGGAAGAAGAAACCGCTGAACAACACCAACGAAGAAGCGTCTACCAGAAGTGTTGGCATAACCACGCGAGTCGAAGATGAGTACCTTACGTCGGCGATCCAAAGTGTGGCTTCACTTTTCTAAAAATAACGAAATCTCTGCAAAATGCAAAATTTGTGACAAAAGGAGTATTTTTACAGAAGGAGTATTTCCTTCAGAAAGGAGTATTTCCTTCAGAAAGGCCGTTGGTTAGCAAGGTTAGCTGAACTTTTTTGACCCTGCCTCTTAAAAGAATCTGAATCGAGAATCGTTAGGAACCGGAATCGAAACAAGGAATCGGAATCAGAATCGTTCAAATTCAAACGATACCCAACCCTAATAGCGAGGCATGTAAAAGAACATCTCAGAAAGCCACTGTGGACAAAACTGCTGAGAATGTTACTGAGCTTTTGTTTTGAGTTTCATTGAAATATTCCCTAGCTAATTTTGAATACACACTTGAAAAGCTATTGCAATCAAAGCTTTGACGGAAAGTTAAAACAAGCAGCTCTGAAAGGTGGCGGGCCTGCTCATAACGGGTCTCTTGAGACTCTGTTTGTGGCAACTGCTCGGGAGATTTGCGCTGGTCGAAATTAAGCCTTCGAGAGGCTGAGAAGAGAACAACAGAAATCCGGTATCAAAGGGTATCTCCCCTTCTACTACAAAGGTGACAGAACTTAAAAAGTGATGAGAAACAACAGCCTTTTAAAAAATGAACAGCATGTTGCAAACTCTTACCATACAATATGCTATAAGAAAAACAAAATACTGCATATGAGGTTGGTAGAGCTGGGCGATTTTTTAATAAAAAACTCGATTTACGATTTGTATGTTAAACACAACCTACGTAATACAGACAACTTCACTATAAAGAAAAAATAACAAATCCAAAAAATATATGATCATGATCTAAGACAAAAATTCTAATATAAACTAGATTAGTGGATAATTCAGCAGTAAAATTTAGTTTAGAAAAATCACAAGTGCACAATAATTGTGTAAAATCTGAACATTTACTGAAAAAAAAAATTAGTGGGGATCAAATAAGAGCACTAAATCTTGTAAAATGTTACACATTGCTCTTTGTATTGTTGGAAAATACATTCATGAAAAACAAAATAACAAAAATGAAGATCAATTATTATATAGCCTAGTCTACTATATAATTGAGACATGTTTTAAATGTATAGCACAGCTGTTGAGATACATATGATAGATAGGACAGAACAAGAAAGGCTATTAATAATCTTTCATTGCGCAAAAGTAGGCCTATGATATGATTATGAAAGGCTCAATACAGTGCAGCACACAGCGCTTATGCACATCCCGAGCCCTGAATGATGCGCTTGAAGCCACACAGAGTCACAGCGCGTCGAGCCTGCATCGAAAAGTTCAAAGCACAAAGGAAATAATACTGATGCGTAGTGTATTATACAGTATCTATCTATGCAATAGTTTATTGAGCCTTTTATTTTAACAGTTTTAAATTTCAGTTACTGTCCACGTGAAGAACAATTATAGCGCTCCGACTCTACTCTAGAGTTGCGATTTAACAGACACCCGGTAGAAAGTAATATGATTTAGTTAGAGCAATAAAGTCCAGCAATATACAGTTGTTTTATGTGAAACCATAGACATAGATCAAGTATAAGAATAGTAACATCTTAGAGAGAGTTTCAATAGTAACATCTTAGAGAGAGTTTCGTGTTGACTGTTGTCCCCAAACTGCTGAACACTGAAACACTAAATAATTGTTCCAAACTTAATGATTAGCCGGCAAAAAAAAATAGACGATTAGTCGATTAATCGTTCTATTAATCGATTATCAAAATAATCATTTGTTGCAGCCCTACTGACGAGGGGGACAAAAAAATAGAAAAAAAAAAAACGATTTTTTGAAAATATTAATCGATTTGACCAACCAACTCGATTTTTAAATCGAATAGATTTTTTCCCCAGCCCTAGCAGTTACTGTACGATGTGAAGTCAAAATGTTGACTATTAAAACAAATTCTGTTCACAAAAACTTCTTCTCTCAACAGCTGGCTTTTACTGGAATTAAGTGGCTCTTTTCACAACGCTGATGTCCCTGTAAATGAGAGCCATATGCTGATAAGAGTGAAGCTGAAGTAAGTTTGTTTAAAAAGATCTATGTTGAACAGCGTTCAGCTGGAGGATTGACGAGTATGTTGTTTTCTGCTCTCTTCATTTGTGGCGTGTCCTCCCACAGCCCATAATGCTCACTGAGCACCACTCCACTCTACACTAATGGATTCTGGAGAGGCACATCAAGTGCTGCTGGACGTGAGTTTTCAACGTCTCTGCTTTGCAGCAGGTACATCTGCGCTCACAGGTCTGTGCGCGTGTCTGTTGTGTAACAACCATGAATCCCGATGCTCTTAAATTAGAGCTGTCAAACTGCAAACAGTTTCTGCCTGGCACTGCTTATTACTTAGATTCTAAACCTCGTTAAGTTGATTTTAAAGGTTAGGTACACATACACACATACATATAAATATGTAATATTTATATGATATAAATATGTAATATCATATAAATATGTTATATATATACAGATATATAATATATATATATTTTAACACGAGACTCTTATCGGGCAATAAAAAAAATATATCGCTGTTAATCTATTCTTAAATTTGGGTAGGGAGCTGGGTCTATACTACGCAAGCTATGATGACTTTCACCTTGATATTTTAGCACAGGTAAATACCTAGCCGAATTGCACTGTACCAATTTAATACCAATATATTGAAAGGTCTGTTTATCTATACTCCCTTAAAGGGTTAGTTCACCCAAAAATGAAAATTCTGTCAGTATTTACTCTCCCTCTTGTTGTTCCAACCCCGTAGACCTTCGTTCATCTTCGGAACACAAATTAAGATATTTTTAATTTACTGCCTCGAGTCAGGTTACTAGTTTAATAACGTAAGCCTTTGTTATTGTACGTCACACGCATCACACACATGACCAGCAATGGCCAATAGTGAGCCTACGTGTGACGTAGCTCTACGCTATCACACTACGTTAACTGACTAGAGGCTTATAGAGAAGGAAGTGAATAGTTGAAATAAAGTCGTTATTTTTGTTTGTTTTTGCGCACATAAAGTCTTCTCATCGATTGATAAATTTAAGATTGAGCCACTGAAGTCACTTGGACTATTTTAACGATGTCTTTAATAACTTTATGAGGCCGGCAAGTTTCAATTCCTCAAGAAGCCTATAGACTAGCATGCAGGAGTGATCAAGCTCTCAGATTTCATCAAAAATATTTTAATTTGTGTTCCGAAGATGAGTAATGAGGGTGAGTAATTACTGACAGAATTTTCCTTTTTGGGTGAACCATCCCTTTAATAAAGGAGTCGAGACATTAAAAAAATATCAGTCATGTGTTTTAAGTTTAATATGAGGGAAATACACATTCGTAACAGGCGTGAAAAAAAAAAAAAAAAAACGTAACGTTTCAGGTGGAAAAAGTACAAAAACGAATCCTACCCACCGGATAAAGAAGGATTGGCTCTCAGAACATGAGATGTATGTATATAGAACATAAAATATTCATTTTTCAAGTACGCATTTATGTTACGTGACAGTTCCCCGTTACGGACACGACCGCTTTGAAAGCGGCAATGAAAGATTGCTGCTCTGTGAACTTTCACAGAGACATCAAACATAAAGCACAAAGCCTTTTATTAAGGTGAATTTCATTTTGTATTCATTGTAATCAATGTTTCATCAACAAATTGCCTGGATTTAATAGATAATCACAATATTAACAATGTACCTGAATTGTATGTCATTATGTATATACAGAGCTATTTTTGTTGCATGTATACTAACTGTACACTGCAATTTCGTATAGATTAAAACCTATTTGGGTGGATACCAAGTTCAAAGGTCAAACTAACCTCGATTCCACCCTGAAGCAGTTCTACTTGAGTTGAGCCAACATCCAGTGTCACCGCAACCGATGCAAAAGGGCGACTGGCCATCTGCTGCCTTTCTCTCATCAGTTGCTGTAAGAGATAAAAGAAAGAGGGAAGAAATGTATTAGACATTAGTAAATATCTGTACATAAATTGTAGAGTTTCAAACATATCTGAGTTGTCAGTTTCCTTTGTCAAAATCTTTGATTTAGGGCTAAAAGTGGTGACTGACAGCATAATTGACATTATAATTGACACTCAGAGAAAGTTACAGTAAGTGACACATTTATTGAGAGAAGGAAAACTAAAAGCACCTCTGGACACACAGAAACACACTTAAACACACTCACTCGTGTGAGGCAGTATGCAGGGATTCTGATGTGTTTGAGATGATAAGAAGGAAAAAGTTTACCAAAATGCAAGAGGCGAAAGTGCAAAGTAGAATAAAGCAGAGAAAGAGAGAGAGGCCATTGACAGCACACTGGCTGTTTTCCAGCACAGGCAGAAACAGGTGGTTGAATAATTCATTTGTTCCATATAAAAAAAGTTTGGAGGACCTGGCTAATCAAATGTCTGCAAAGATTGGAAGGAAATTTCTCTTGCCACAACATGCATGACAAGCAATTATGCTGCCATTGATTGCGAGAGCATCAGTATTCCAGTGGTGGAGTTTAATTAATGATGCATTCCCTGTAATTTCTCCATGCAACTGACTCGCTGACTGCCCTAAAAGCAGGATTCACAACCTTAATGCAAAATCCCATCCATAGCTGCTTATTTTGTCTCTTTGATGGACATAGTTTATCTATCATGTGCACATGGTGCACAATTTTCCTTGCTTGTGCATACAGGAGATGACACAAAGTCAGAAGTACTTTTCAAGGTGACATCATTATATCCATCAATACCAACTTCTCATCTGTAATCAGAATGTGTAGATGTCACTGAGTGAAAGAGAGTGAGCATTCATGAGTATTTGCGGGTGACACGGGTACAAAAGATCAATACACTGCAATACAGAGTGTTCAATCACACAGTATTATGCCAGTTGCCTTCATAATAGAGAATTCCACTGAGAACAATTAACATACTTTATCAGAGAAAGATTCAATAGGCATCCTAATAAGACTTCAAATCCCTGCTTTTCATTACCAACAATAACATCAAACAATAATGAACAACACTTTAGCAGGTATGTAGAAAACAATTAGAGAGAAAGCTTTTGCCCTGGAGACAAACTTTGAAAGACATTTTACTTAAGTGAACACTCCAAATCAGCTTCTCTCGGAGATGCAGGTGATGCCTCCATCATCGCTGGATAATCAATAGTGAAAACATACACACACACAAAAAACGGAGTGTGGTCCTCAGCAGCAGTCAATCAATATCTAAATGTGGGCTGATTTGGGTACCAAGGACGAGGATGATTGCTATTGGATTTGTGACAAAGGAAAGCGTGCAGTTTTAAACTCTAATTGCTCCACATAACAGAGACGAAAGACAACTGCTGAGGTACTGTCACTTGCCTGGTTTCACAGCAATTCTGCACCATGTCCACGTCCTGACAAACATGCCGGTGTCCACACACACATTTGGATGTAAGTGGATTTCATATTAGGAAATCGAACAGCAGAAAATTCACTTCATTGCCCTGCACAAAAGGCAACCACGTAATTTCAGATAGTAGAGGGTTCTGCAGATGAAAAACTAAAAATAGGTTACTACTTTAGTAAAAATTTATGAAAACTATTAAAACTGAATCATCACTGGTGACAAATGCGAAAAAAAAGAAAAAGTTTGGGGTCAGTATGTTTTATTAAGCAAGGGCACATTAAAATGATTAAAAGTGACAGTAAAACCTTTATAATGTCTTTAAGAAAAAGATTTACATTTGAAATAAATGGTGTTCTTTTGAACTTTCTATTCAATGAATCCTGAAAAAAAAAAAAATAAAAAAAAAATCATGTTTTCAACAAAAAACAAATGCAACAGTTTCAACATTGATAATATTTAGAAATGTTTATTGAGTACCAAATCAGCATTAGAAAGATTTCTGAAGAATCAATGTGACACTGAAGACTGGAGTAATGGCTGCTGAAAATTGATAGAATAAATCAATAGTATTATATTACTATTAATAACAATATTACTGTTTTTACTGTATTTTTCATCAAACAAACGCAGCCTTGGTGAGCAAATCGAATTCAAAACATAAAGCACCCCAAACTTTTGAACGGTAGTGTAACTATCTCTATAGAGCATTACCTGTGTTTTCAGCAATGCTTTTGTTAACATAAAAAAAACTATTAGCTGGAACCACAAAGCAATTTTTTTTAATTCAGCAGGGACACTGAAAATGGTTATCTTAAATAAAAAAGTAAAAAAAAAAAAAAACAGTGGAGATTAAAAAAAAAAGTTAAAAAGATAATGGAGATAAAAATGTAGTGGTAAATAGCAGTACTTCACTTTATATATAATTCACTACAAAAAGAACATGTAAAATGGAAAATGCTGGTACTTGGGCCTTTAAGTGCCTTAATTATAGTACTCAAAAGTGACTTATGGTTAAAAGGAGGGAAACTAAGAAGCTTTGCACTCAATGAACCGAAGTGCACAATAAACACCTTCGGTATGTATGTAGACATGTACTGTACTACTCGGTCTTCTCCTGCAAGCTTTCTACATGCTAATACAACAAATCTAACAATGGCAACACATATCAGAGTTCAAAGTTTCACTAAATTCCTCTCAACCACTTCAACAAATCCTGAAAATTCATCCACAAAAATGAACATGAAGGAGAGTGCTTCTAAACGATTCTAGAATTAAAATAAGTAATCTCACATATGCAACAAAATAAATGTATAATGAAATATCAACAGTCTGTTAAAAAAAGGGTTCAGATAAATAAGTTCCCTAGTGTTTTAACACCATGTCACCGAACACAATAAGTCAATGTTCTTCTTTCCATCTGAAAGTCACTTCAACCTCAGAAATTCACCGACTCAACTTCTCCCTGTATCCACGACAAACAAAAAAATGCAGGAAGGTTGCGACGTCCTTGACGGTGCACATATCAGACCGACAGTGCTGTCTCTGTGGGGGTGTCTCTTCAAGACCGACACAAAGAGGTCTCTTCAATGACTTCCGCATAAATGGGCCCTGATGGCACCATGGTAATTAATCACTCATTATCTTTTCTATTAATCACCACTTGAGGACTGTTATGGCTGATCCCACCGCGACCACGTTTATAATGAAATTATCAGAGCTGAGCACACTCCTCACGTCAGGTTTTCTCTTGACAATACGATCTGATCATCTCTGCGAAACGTTAGTGACACCAACCTGCATAACTAAATGTGTGTGTGTGATGAAAGGAGAGATACAAGAGAGGTATGCTAGCTTTAAAAGTGAACTAAACGTTCAAAATCAGTCGGTATTCACAAGTTTCCTACGCCCCATGAGGCCTTGCGTCAAAAGTGGGCGCGACTTCCGGTTGGAAGTAAACAAAGCGCGATTTGACATGCTTGACACTCGTTCATTCAACAGTTGACAGTCATTCAAGTTATAGCGATCCAAACTAGCTAACGATGTGGTAACACAACCTCAACGAAATTCAAAAGGGTGAAATAACAGTACCTTTACCCTCCGCAGTTACTTGGTTGGGAGTATTATAATAACATTATTAATAATCAATACTCATCAAGGCATGGTGACAGACAGTTGTGCGAGCTGACAAACAATTAAAATAAAAAATACACACTTAGTCATTGTGCTTTGGAGTTTATTCAAAATTATAAATGAATGTGCTACTTGAATACATTAACTGGCACATTTGGTATTCTGTCAACACAGGCTTTGATCCTGAGTTTAGGTGTAACATCAGTAGCGAACAGCCAAACACATGCTGATAGAGTTTATAGAACATTAAGAATTTAAACAAATGTACACAGGAAGACTTTTGTCGTCTTTTGGGAGGTGATGGAAACTACAGTCGTTGGTAGGATCACTGTGATTTCGTTTTCAGCTTATGTTCAAAACAATCCCGTTTAAGCCACTAAATTAGTTTAGTCCGGTTATACATACAACCGCGAACAGCACATGTTGTCCCTGAGCTCCGTAACGACATCTCTCATAAAGATTGGCGTCTTTAAATAATAAAATAATTCTCCGAAAAACAGCTAGCCTCTTCGCTAACTAACACACAAAATACCATTGGAATGCTACTTCCGCCGCCTCACCGGAAGTTTCACCCACTTTATTTTTTACAGGAGCGCCCCTCGGAAACTTGTGGATAGAGCAGGGAACTATATATGGGGTAAAGCCATTGGTGTGCAAGTTCATTTAAATTGTAGTTCACACTTAATGCCCAAAATGCACTCTGATTTATACTGTACATCCAAAGTACATGAGTCTAAGCTTTATAATCAAATGTGGAGAGGAAAAAACACACTTTTCATCCTGTATTTCTTCAATTTTCTTCTAACTCGGAAAATTGTTTACAAACCAAATATGATGATGATGATGATAATAATAAAATTAAGAGTAATAATAATACATATATAAATATAATGCGTGTTTGTGTTGATTCGCCTCTAATTGTGAATCATTATGAACACATTAAACATTACAAGCAAAAATGTTTATTGCATTATCAGACTATGGAAGCAAGTATACACAATAAAAAAAGTGAGCTGCATCTAAAATCTATGGCCCTGTCCCAAACAGACAATAGCGCTTTGTTGGGTAGAAGTCCTGCTACAGTGTGGGCTTAGTAAAGGTGCACATTAGAGGTTGAAACCCTGAAAACATTTCTTATGAAACCCTGCACTGGAGCTGTGTTAACCCCGCATCAAGTGTGAAACGATGCTGTGTTAGAATGTAGCAACAGGCAACCAATTGTGATGCCTACTCAGATTTGTGTGCTAGTCTTTGGACCATCACAGAAACACTGCGCACTGCATATAAAAAGTAAAAAATGAGCGTTTGTGACAGAAACTGAGACAATTTGAGTGAAGAAGAGGCTGTTTCATACCTCATTCATACCTTTATAGTCCGAAATGTCCATTCAGAGTAAAGTCAATAGT